CTGTAGAAGACTTATTCAAAATTCAAGGTATTCTTATACAGGTTTAAGCCCGTCGCTAGGATCTTGAAAGGGAAAGTTCGTTTTTCTACCAATCTTAGTTATGCCATTTCTTGAAAGACTAAAATAGTGCTAAACTTTATTTCGTGCTCCTGCAAAGGATGGAGAACGGGGGGAGGGGGGGGGGGGTTTGCTCGAGCCATCGAATCACCCCCAGCAACGGGCCTGAGATTACGATATTTAAGTGTAAAATGCTTGTGTCATTTGTGCATGCGTGTGTTTTTGGGGTGATGTTGTGCTTGTCTACAAGTATATCTAATCATTTACTGTCATTCTTTATTTTCCTCTGTTATATTTCAGGTGCTCCACCCTTACCTCAGCCTCCACAGCCTCACATGCAAGTACCAAGCYCCACCTTAAATCAAAGGTAACTGGTTTCAAACCTTTTTTAACTGGCAAATCTTAGTTTAGCGGCTATTCCGTCAGKCGGTAGTTCGATCGTTTGGTCAGTAAGGGGAGTCAGTCAGTTACTCGACTGTATGTCTGTTAGTGGCTCACTAGTCATTCGTTCCTTGGTTTTAGCTTTCTCTGCTGGCATCTCCTTTGGGCTCCTTGGGCTTTCTGTGGAGAAAAAGGGGGGGGGGGGGGGGGGAGGAAAAAGGTTTTCTGCCATGTATTTCAACGCAGGAACCCCTATTACGTTCTGGCGAATAAATATGGAGTAGACTAATGAGGCGGCTAGGTACGTTGTTTTATGAGTTTGAGAKCCCAACCACAAAATATGTCAGATTTAACATTGGAAGGCATCAGTAGTAGCGATAGTAGTAGAAAACCTTATTTTACGTCAGACTTAAGAGTATCATTGATTTGCTTGTATTTCCGAAAAAATAATATCATGAATAAAGAATTATGATGATGATGACTCTTATTGATTGCAGTCGCATGCCTTCTCAAGACCTGGCAAATTATTGTGCTTCACTTGGTCTTCCACTCCCTGCCTACCACTACAGTAAAGGAGATATGGTATGTAATGTATACAACTATTTGCTGTCTTCATTGATTTCCAAGTCCCTACTTTATTATTTAAATCTAGCATTAATAACGTGGTTTCAGGACGGTAGCGCGAGCACATTCTTTATATTTAGAATGGGAGGGGTCTGTTGACAGAAGAATAAAACGGTATAAATCGCATGTCGTTCTTCTCATTGCATTTTCATACTCCTTCCTTCCTTCCTTCCTTCCTCCCTCCCTCCCTCCTTCCCTCCTTCCCTCCCTCCCTCCTTCCTTCCTCCATCCCACCCACCCTCCCTCCATCCTTCCCTTCCTTCCTCCTTTAATCCCTACCTATTCTCGCTGCCTTCAGATTTCCCCTTTAGACATTAACTCCGCGCCTTCGTTACGATTCTGGCTACCGTTCCATCATCTTTCCCTTACCTACATTTTATTTCTTACAGGGTATTATTGCAGTTGTGGAACTGGCAAATGGATTGAAGATTCCTGGGTCTCAGTGTCGAGACCGGGTTGAAGCAGCAGAGAGTGCTTCAGCTGTTGCTATGCTACAGATGGTAAGAACATGAATTAAAATGCGATTATTATAATTTTAATCTCTTACTAAAAAGCAAAGACGGTGGTAA